GAAGTGCAAGTGTTTCAAAGCAACGTCACAACACCTGAGCACGCTACAACACACCCTACAGTCCAATATTAATACTAGTTAACATTTGGAATGGAAACAGCATAACCTAACAAAACAAAGCATGTCAACTGAGAGCAATGCAAAGAGACTTTCAACGGTCTTTGAATACACTGCTGCAGATATAGGCACCTTTCAGAAATGTCCCTTCTTGCCTGCTATCATCAAAACGATCGCATATTTTTCCCCCCGAGAGGCCTGTTGATCAGTAAGAGACAAGGAAATCTACAGTATTAAAGGGAGTACTCTGAACAGACAAAAGAGGGGAAATTTTCAAGTAAGTGCTATATTTCTTCTGTCTGTGGAAGTTTCCTTTCCTGACAACTAAAGAACCAAGCTTCTAGACACACTCTGGATATCTGGCAAGGTCAAGTAAAATACTCTTGGGAATAGGACCTCAGAACGGCTTGAGCTCAAATCAGATTTCGTCAGGCTAAGAATGCACCATAATCACAGTTCAAGAAGACAGGCACCCAACAATGGGAAGGCACTTGAAAAACACCCGTGCCTTTTTTTAGCAAGATAGTCAAAAAACATACTACCTCCACACTTCCCAAGGGAAAGCTAGGCAGCAGTGCCTCATAAAAGTGATAAATGGCTGTCACATTTCATATCCTGATGATTTAAAGAGCCACTGGCAGACACATCACTTCCAGCATGTCAGACAGTTAATTACTTCCAACTTATCTTTCTTGTCAATGCTTCCCGACAAAATTGGCCGTTATCTTTTATTCTTTAACAATTAGCACTGCTCTTTTGCTGATGCTCCCTGGTGCACTCAATTACTCCTTTTTTGTTTCGTACTTTCTTGGCTGTCCAAAGTAGAATCAAATGTTTCAAAGCTGTCTATGGTTAGGTTTAAGCAAAGGGAGGGGAAAGAAGGGAAGGGGAAGAAGACAGACTTTGATTTAAAAGAATACACAGCAGTAGATATAATACTGTGTTGTCATAATTAATCATAAATTACTCTCTTGTAACAAATGATCTAGCCCACACAGCGAGTAAAGATAGGTAATTCTGTGGACTAGGATAAGCCACTGACTGGGAAATCTCCGGTCAATTATTTAATGTTTTGATGTACCACATTAAAATAGTGTATACACAAAATGGGGGGGGGGGGGGGGGGAGCACAAACAACATTCACTGCTTTGGCAGAAATGGACCTAAACACAGAGAAGTTCAACTGTCAGGAAGAGTACAAAAATCCCTCCGAAGCAAGACTTATGCATCAAAGTGGGCTTTATTAATATGGCTGAACATTCACTGACTTATTTCTTCAGAGTAATAAAACCTTTGTAATCAGTGCATTGTTTTGCTATTCAGTTTTACAGGCTAAGGGAAACACAGTTGTGTGTGGATTAAGTTCTTGTGTTTTGGAGGGTTTTTTGTTTGTTCTGAAAGACCTTGGATTTCTGCTTTTTCTCATCTGCTGGATGCGGTGTGCTCTGAGTGTTGGAAGTCTATTGACAGTTCCCAAAAATCACCAGTACCACAGCTGACTGGAATGTGTTTTCAACAGACTCACAACTCTCTGCGTACAAGTTCTCTGAGAGTGGGCCTGCAGATTGTACTTTTCTTGGAAAAGCATTTCCACATGGAGTCCTGTTAACACATTCAAAATACATGTTTAGAAATCATGGCATTCTGTGCTTCCCTACCCTTTCACCTTCCTACCATTAAGGCCTTGCCCCTCGCCCTGCAGATCTGATGAGGTCTGCGCTCAAGCAGAATCTTCTTAAATTTTGTAACACTCTTAAAGCACTACAGAGCTGTTTTCTAGTTATTGTGCTGGAGACTGGACAGAATGAACAACACTACAGAAAAGCATCCAGGCACACAGAAGAGGCCCCGAAGGGCTAATATTCCAGCCAGGCGGAGTTGCCAAGGGGGTTTAGTCACAGTATTGCTGCTGGAAATCAGGGCAGTTTACCGGATTAGAATCAGGGGAGTAGATTTCTCCTTGTATCTGGAAAAAGATAACTACAAGATCTTTCTGGATTAAAGAAGAAGGTGGGAAAACATCTCTCAAGATAGAAACAATGCTGCTGGCTAACTCAGCAGACAGTAACTTAAGTCTTTATTTACTGGGTGGTGTCCTTGCAGTTGTTCCAAATTCAGGATAATACGAAGTTAATATTAAAGGTGAAGATCAATTGTTCTCCATATCCACTGAGGGTAGAACATGTTGATCTGTTAGATCAATATGTTTAGAAGCTAGAAAAAAGCCACCGCTACCACCTACTTTACTTGAAGGCTCGGCAGCAGGCTGTAAAAGACTACTACTGTTATCTCCTTACTTGGAAGTTTTTAGGTATAGGTTTGGTAAGCCATAGGTTACACGTCATCTTTCAGGAAAGGCCTAAGTATTCAGCTATGCTGCCTGGTATGGACTGGCAAAATCTTCCCATATTAATGCTCAAGTGAAATATTTCAAAATTATGTATTTTAAATGCCACATGTACATACCTAAAATCTTCTGAAACTATTTTAAGACAGAGCTGTCCTCATGTTTGCAGGTAGACTATTAAAATGGGAGATCCCAGAAACAACAAGATTGCATAAATCATATCAACAAGATTTTGATATAGTTTGAACTAATGTACTAATTTCACTGTTTAATACCCACCATTTGATTTCACATTTTATGCAAAGTGATTAGAAGAAACAACAAAACAACATTAAGATCCTTATACTTTCCTTCAAAATGAGGATTAATTAGTTGCAAAACTGATTTTCATCAATGACATTTTATATGCGTTTGGCTCACCTGGACTCACTGTGTAATTACATAATGCAGCACAGTAGAATTAAAATTGATGTCAATCACAATAACAAAAGCATTAATTCCTATATTCCAAGTGCACAATCTTCAGCAGCTGTAAGGGGCAGCTGGATAAGGAAATGAGACTGTCACAGAAAGCTTTGTAAGAAGACAGTTAAATCCAAGATTATAGATAGTTTTTTTCCCCCCTGTTTATTAATCAATATTTGTACTGTAGCCAGGATAATATCCAATCCTCCTGTTCAATCCTAACCTATTTGCAGCACTTGGTCATGATGAGTGGGATATTAAAATGTGTAAAAGCCTTCTAATGAAAAAAATTCTGTAGGGATGGAATGACATAGTA